ACCTTATTTTTTATTAATATCTGTGGACTAGTAAATTAGTTATTTACATTTATTAATAAACGTTTACTTATTTTATTCATGTCTGTGGGCAAAGTAATGAACTATATATTTGTATTTATTAAATAATTATTACTTATTTGTTATTCATATTTATGGGCAAGATAATGAACTAGCTATTTGCATTTATTAATTAACTTTACATATTAATTTGGGGGTAAATTAATGGACTATATATTTACATTTATTTTTTATTCATATTTGTGGGCAGATTAGTGAACTAGATATTTACATTTCTAAATCATTTCCACAATTTGTTATTCATATTTTTTCGGCAAGTTAATGAAATAGATGTGTCTAATAGGATGTGTCCTTGACAATGATTTAGGTGGTGTAAGTATGGCTATGAAAGTTCTGGGTAAGGTTAATGCTAGGACAACATTTCTCGCCAGACGTGTTAGTTTTCTTGATAAACAGAATATACAATTACTTGCATCATGTTTAGTGTCATGTCATTTCGAATATGCATGTATTTCTTGGATGTCTGATTTGTGTCGTGGTTGGTTGGATAAATTACAAAAATCTCAGAATAAATTGATATGTTTAGTTTCAGGGTTCAGGCGTTTTACACATGTTGAGGTTTCCCATTTTAAGTGTCTTGATTGGTTACGTACGTATAGAAAGCAGACTAGAACACATGAAATAAAAAATGGTACATGAGATTATCAATAACAGAGCTCCTTCATATTTGTATGTATTTTTTCCTAGGGTAAATGAGCAACATTGTTATAAAACTAGGCAAAGTCTCATGGATATCACATTATGTCATTTTAAAACTATGTATGGTCGTAGGTCTTTTAGATATTCTGGGGCACTTTTGTGGAATAAGTTACCTCTGGATATTAAATCGAATATGGTTAGTTTTAGTTTAAAAGCTAAAAGTTGGTTCTTAAGTAGGTTGTTTTCTTGAATTTGTATTACGTACGTGGTTATTTGTGACTGTAAATTGTTGTAAATGTGGAATTTTATTGTAATTTTTGTATTTATAATGCAGTGCCAGTGTACCTGTTACCGGGAGTGAAGTTTGTGCTTTACATCAAGGACCACAATGGAAACAAGTTTTGTTTTAAACTTTATTGTGTTAGCCTTGACAAATAGAGTGTATTCACTACTTTTTTGTCAAATAAACATAAATATAAACATATTTACATTTGTTAAATAATTACTAATTTTCTATTCATATTTGTGGACAATTTAATCAATTAGATATTTAGATATTTACATTTAATTATTGTTTACATTTTATATATATTCTCATGGGCAAGTTAATGAACAAGATATATACATTCATTTTTACATATTTGTATTCATATTTGTAGGCAAGTTAAATAAATAATTCATTCATTCCTTTTTATTCATATCTGTAATTAACTAGAAATGTACATATATTTTCATATTTTCTGAAGAAAATATGACTGGTTCTTGTTCATGCAAAACTCTCCACCTCAGTGCTAGTGTGTTCTGGGTGGTTGCCAGAGTGTTTCTATGTGGCTACTAAGGTGTTCTGGATGGTTCCTCGGGTATTCTGTATGGTTCCTAGGGTGTTCTGGATGGTTCCTCAGGTATTCTGTATGGTTGCTAGGGCGTTCTGGATGGTTCCTCGGGTATTCTGTATGGTTGCTAGGGTGTTCTGGATGGTTGCTAGGGTGTTCTGGATGGTTCCTCGGGTATTCTGGATGGTTGCTAGGGTGTTCTGTATCGTTGCTAGGGTGTTCTGGATGGTTGTTAGTAGGGCTGCACGATAAATCGAAATGGAATCGAAATCGCGATTCGACAGAAGCTGCGATTGTCATGCGTATCTTTTAGTGAAGCCACGGTTCTGTGATCAGTAGTAAATCTCCATCCAAAGGCCAGAGGGCGCTCTCGCGCTGAAACTCCAAATACGCCTCGCAGAAGAAACCCAGAAAATGCCTATCGCTGCAGCTGAATAAACAGAAGATTCAACTGCTTTCATTGATTCAACGTGACTAATAAACACACGACTACAGCAATATACGGTTTATCAGAGTTGTTATTATTATAATTTTCATTAAAATAAAGTATATTTATAATGCAATGCTTTTATCGCTGCTTAAATACTATGAAATATGTTGCGTGCCTTATTCTGTGTAAGAAGCCACATCATCTCACAGAAGGATTTATTTAAACACTCGACTGAAGTTATGAAGTGAGTTTGGAGTAAAAATGTTATTAAATGTGGTATTTTCACATGCTTTCAGATGGAGCAGCATTTACTTCACAGAACCGTAGGTCACTGAGAAGCTACTCAAACAGCTGTCATGATCGTCTGCGATTTTTTTGCGTAACTTGTCAGTGAACTACGGCTATGTGTAGTAAATTCTGCTCCATCTGAAAGCACGTGATGATGATTTCCTGCTGATTACAGAACCGGCTTTACTAACAAAATGGGCATGACAATCACATTCGATTAATCGTGCAGCCCTAGTTGTTAGGGTGTTCTGGATGGTTCCTAGGGTGTTCTGGATGGTTGCTAGGGTGTTCTGGATGGTTCCTAGGGTGTTCTGGATGGTTGCAAGGGTGTTCTGGATGGTTCCTAGGGTGTTCTGGATGGTTGCTAGGGTGTTCTGGCTGGTTCCT